TTTTCATTTGACACTAAGCCAGCGCACAAAATGGAGTAGCACATATTTTTCTTTCCCTTCAACATCCAAGTTCAGGATGGACTGACTTTTTGTTCTTCCGTAGTTTGCAGGTATTTGCCTGAAAATTTGGTTTCTCATTCACAGAGAGAAAGAGAAATAGTCACAATATAGGTGCATGATAGAGCCAAGGTAGAGTATAGATGATGGATAGCTAGGTAGGTAGGTAGGTAGATAATAGATAGTGAGAAAGATATGCTAGAAGGTAGATGGATGAGCGGGTGGATGAATGAATGGATATATAGAGAGAAAAGTGATGATAGATAGATTAGACAGATACATAGATAGAGAGATAGATGATAGATGAGTGGTAGATATATTTATGTATTTGTGGATGGGTGGATAGATTGATTGATCGATGGGCATATCAATAAACAGATAGATAGATAAACAGAGATGTTAATTATAGCCACAGATATAGATAAATAATAAAGACAGCATAGAGATAGCAGGTGAATAGAAATATCGATGATGAGTGGATGGGTAGATGGATGGATAGACAGATATGATGGATTAATAAGTGGATGGAAGAATTGTGTGGGTGGGTAGATAGACAGACAGACAGAGCTTGGTGAATGGATGACAAAGTGAGTGGAGGGATAGATGATGATGATTTGGATGGGTGGATAGATTGATCGATGGACATATCAATAAACAGATAGATAAACAGATAATGTTAATTATAGCCACAGATATAGATAAATAATAAAGACAGCATAGAGATAGCAGGTGAATAGAAATATCGATGATGAGTGGATGGGTAGATGGATGGATAGGAAGATATGATGAAATAATAAAGTAGATATTATGGTTAAGTGAATGGATAGATTAGTTGTGTGGGTGGGTGGATAGATGATAGATAGATAGATAGATAGATAGATAGATAGATAGATAGATAGTAGATATTATGGTTAAGTGAATGGATAGATTAGTTGTGTGGGTGGGTGGATAGATGATAGATAGATAGATAGATAGATAGATAGATAGATAGATAGATAGTAGATATTATGGTTAAGTGAATGGATAGATTAGTTGTGTGGGTGGGTGGATAGATGATAGATGGATAGATAGATAGATAGATAGATAGATAGATAGATAGATAGATAGTAGATATAATGGTCAAGTGAATGGATAGATTAGTTGTGTGGGTGGGTGGATAGATGATAGATAGATGAGAGAGTGGTGAATGGATGGCTACATGAGTGGAAGGAGAGATGATAGATAGATGGATGGATGGATGGATAGATAGATAGATAGATAGATAGATGATAGATATAAATTATAGTCACAAAGATTGAGAAATGATAAAGAGAAGATAGATGATACATGATGGATAGATATGTAGATGATGGATGGACAAGTAGATGATAGATATAGATAGATAGATAGATAGATAGATAGATAGATAGATAGATAGATAGATGATAGGTAGATAGATAATAGATATAGATAAATGATGGAGGATATATTGAGCATAGAGGAATAAATGAATGGATAGTTGGCTGATTGGAAATCCAAAGATATCCCACTAGAGTTCATTGACCTAAGAGATTGATTCAGGAAAACTTGACACATCTTGAATGTTGAAGGACCCTGGTTCTAACTCATCCCATGTGACACTCAGCGTGGCAAAGGGTCAACTTCCTTGTCTCTGAAATGAAGGGGGTTGGGTATTATTGACATCCCTTCCCCCTGTGAATATCAGTGTTTTAGTAGGCGTGAGAGGCTGTGTCCCCAAAATGAAACAAGCCCAAGACCATGGCCATTGGCCCAAATGATCAGTTTGGTTTTCTCCTGTCGATTAACCTTCATGAGTGAGGACCTGAGACAGAGGGGTTGGGCCGGGCCACCTGGAAATTTCGGGGCAACATACCCCTTTCGGATTTTGCTTTAGGGTCTAGAGATTTTAACAGAATCAGAAAACTGGACCTTCCGTAAAACGCTAATGATGCTCACACCACTTGTGTGTCCCTGGGAGGACTCAATGATGCCTGGTGGGTGAGATTTCAGAGCCTGCTAAGAATAATGGAGAGAGAGAGAGAGAGAGAGAGAGAGAGAGAGAGAGAGCCATCCTAAATCTTTATCATAGTGCATCTTGACCTCTGCAAAGATGAAAGACACATGGGGTGACCCGGAAACATGTGCGATGAACATCTGGAAAGACCTGGGGGTGAGGTGGGAAGGCGTCTTGCCTCATGCCTGAGCTATATCTGCAAAGGATGGGTTTATATCACTTAGGACACTCTGTGTGTGTGTGTGTGTGTGTGTGTGTGTGTGTGTGTGCCTGGTGTCTGCAGG